GTCGTCCTTCAAGGTTAATGAGAGAAAAGCTTCTTTGGACGAGTCTGGTCTATATTTGTGTATTTCGCTGCCATGACATGATCGCTGAAATGGACCAAATTGCTTCCCAGCATGAGCCCACAGTAATATTTCTCAGGCTCTCGTATATGAGCCTCGTGGCCTGTTTGGCTGGGGTGGTTTGTGTGGTAAGTGGGGCCCTGGCTGGGTGCCAGATGGTAGAGTTGCATGTCTATTGCTTATTTCGTCTTCCGCACTCTCTCCATGCCCTTTGGCTATCTGGACCAGGGCGAGGGCAGCAGCCCGGGTTAATTTCCCTGAGGTAGAGGTGGGAGTGGAGGAGGGCTAGGATGCATATCTGCATCCCTGTCAGACCCCTCCTCTGCTCACTGCAGTCCTTGCAGTCATCCCAGACAAAGTCAGAGGGCGAGGGCTCTTCTCGGCAGCCTGGACACCAGGGACTTTCCAGGACACTTCTCCTACACACACATCTGCTGCCTCTTGGAAATCAGGCAACGGGGTATGATAGAGAAAGTGCCCCTCTGGGATCTGGAAGTCCTCTGTTCAAGTCCTCTGTTCAAGTCTTCTGCTTACCAGAAGTGTGGCCCTGGAGGAGCACCTGTCTCAGGTCAGAGTCCCAGACGCAGTCCCTAAAAAGGACTTCTGACCATTTTCTCCCAGGGAAAATAGGAAAGAGAAATAGCAGCAGAATAGAGACAAGAAGAAGCCAAGCAAGAGTGTAATTGTATGCAGAGCCCTGGTCTGCTGATCCTGAGAAAGAGAAGTTCTGAAATGTAAATTACACTTCAGAGTGTATCTCTAAGCAAATACTCAGCCTCCCACACCAGTCGTTGTCTAAGGTTCCCAAGGGCATAAATACTCCCATTCTCTTAAGTTGGGGCAAAGCTCTCCGCTAGCCGAGGGGCAGTAGTACAGGGAGAATCTCAGGTGTGGGCTAGTGGGAGCAAAGCACACAGGTGGGTAGGGAGGGGCATGCTAGAAGGATGGGGGGTAATGGGGAGTCCTCATCGTGTCCCTTTTACCCCCAACCCCACAGAGCTTCATGTCCTTGCATATAAATGGCAGATACTGATAGGTATACTGTAAAGTTAATGTGAGAATAAAAGGGGTCACACATGCAAATGATCCCACACCTGTCAGTACTTATAAAAGAAATATCAACTCCCTTCTTTTCCATATACCTGTCAAGTTTCCCATCTCTCGTTGACAGTTTCTCTCTGTTAAAAAGCTGGATATGCTCATGATATCATGTTAGGAGAGGGGAAAAGTCAAGATATAAAACTGTATCCCTGGCATGTTCACAATTTTATAAAAGTGTATATACATAGAAAACATTATTAGAGAATACTCAACGTGCTAATAGTGATTATCTCTGGGCATTGGAATTACGATTCTTTGTGAAATTATCTTTATACTTTCCTGATTTTTCTATCATGAACAAGTGTTACTTTTATTTTAAAAAGATATTTTAAAACGCCAAGGCTTAAAAAGATCAAGTCATTTAATTAAAAACTGTGAGAAAAAATTTAAAGGCCATCTTGTCTTCACTTGTTCCCAGCTGCACGTTTCAATGCAGAAACAAAGTCATGAAGCAGAAAAAGTTTATCTTTGCTTCTTAATTCCTAGCTTAGTTCTGTCTTTGCATTTTAACAGAGATCTTAGTGGATATCATGACTTACATGATGCAAAAGAGGTTTCATTCATGTGGAATTTTCCATGCATCATAACTCTCCTGGAGACAGATAACCTCCAGTGTGTTCCCCAAACTTACTTCAGATTGGAACCCTTTTTTCAAGGAACAGCTGAGACTTTTATCCCAGGGACCAACTTTGGAAAACACCAGGCTAAGGTAAAGGGAAGATAGAGTTCTCAGGTGCCCTTTCGGGAATTATTTTGAGTCAGGGACATCTTTCCATGCCCGTGAATCTCCCCATGTTGTGCCTGTTGGGGCCCCAGATCCTACCTCCACCCAAAGCCTAGACCTGACCCTGGAGGGCGCTGGAGAGTACTGAAGAGAGCCCAGGCCCTGAGAAGCTCTGACAGGTCACGAGCTAGAGATAGAGGAACAGCAAGGTGGTCGGAGGGAAGAAAGCACACCATCACCCTGAGGTGTGGGCTGACCCTATCATGTGTAAGCTAGACTTCCCCAAAAGGTGGCCAGAGAAACTGTGGGGGATGCACCTGCAGGGCTGGAAGTACTGGTGACAGTACCGATGGCGAAGCAGAGTCCAGGCTCTCAGAGAGGATGACAATAAACTGCAGACATAATCCTTTGACAAAACAGTTCTGAGTTGTAAAATAGCAAATTTGCAAAATTCGGTTGCATGAAGGGGCTGCCTAAGATCAATTTCTCCGAGATGAGTCTCTCACTCTGGTGATGCGCCCAAGCTCCTAAGCCAAACTACCTGAGCTGAATCCTGCCTCCAGCTGCTCTGGGCCCCTGGGGCCAGGCTGAAACCTGCCTCGGACTCCTCATCTGTAACATGGGCATTACTTTAAGACTAGGATGAATCTACATTTGTGGAGGATTATTTTAATGAAAGCTGTAGCAAGTTATTTCATGTGGAAAGAGAGACTGAAATGAGTGCAGAGAACAAATTGGAGCTCTTGTGTATTGTTGGTGGGAATGTAAAATGGTCCAGCCACTATGGGAAACAGTAGAGAGGTTTCTCAGAAAACTCAACATAGACTCGCCATGTGATATGTCAATTCCACTTCTGGGCAAACCACCAAAGCAACTGAAAGCAGAGGGGCTCAGAGAGAGAGAGAGAGAGAGGTACACACCCATGCTCATGGAATCATTTTGCACAATTGCTAAGAAGTAGATGCCCCCAAGGACCCATCAATAAATGAACGGATTAGCAAAGTGTGATCTACTCATACAATAGAACATCATTCAATTCAAAAAGAAAGGAAATCTTGATACACACTGCAACATGGACATTGAACATGGATGTGAAGACATTGTGTTCATGAAATAAGTTAGCCATAAAGGGGCAAATCCTGCAAGATTCCACTCATGCAGGGTACCTAAACAGGCAAATTCACAGAGACAGAAAGTAGAAAAGTGTTTGCCAGGGACTAGGGGTCAGCAAGGGGTGAATAATGGGGATTATTATGTAATGAGTAGTTTCAGTTTGGGAATATGAAAAAGTTCTAGCTATACACAGTGATATTTGCACAACAGTGCAAATGTATTTAATGCCATTGAACTATACACTTAAAAATGGTGAAAATAATATATTTTAGGTTAGGTGTATTTACCACAATAAAAAAAAAAGAGAGAGAGAGAGAGATAGAAAGAGAGAGAGATGCAAAGATCTTTTCCTAGTAAGAAAAAGATTCCCACACTGAGACTGACCTCCCTCCCTTCTTAAGTGCTGTCAGCATGGATTTGCATGAGACAATTCCTGTGTCATAGTCATAGTCGCTGATGCAGTGGGTTGAATTAATTGACCTTGGGGCTCAATTGCCATGTATTATTTTTTGAATATGAATATCCTTATGATAAGACAAATATATTGCTCATCTCTGAAATGTAAAGCCCTGACATGTATCTAGAATAAGATAGAATAAACTTTTTCTGAAAAACTAGTCCAGGGACCTTGAAAGAGGTTAAAAAAAAATTTAAGTTTATGTCACAATTATTTTGAGCATGATTCTTACAATATTGTTACAACTCCCTACGAAGCACGTGCGTGCTGACACAGACTTGAAGGGAGAGTGGGAAAATGTGAAGGGCTGGCTGAGACTGGTGGAACTGTAGGTGGATGCTTCTCATGTTTCAATTTCTTTTGTGACATCAAATATTGTTTTAATGATAAATAAAGTCAACAAAATGATAAAAATAACATCTGAGAGTCTAAACCCATAAAAAGCATATTAAGACTGACATCACTTATTTTTACCCATTTAAAAACCCAGAGATGGGAGGTGGGTGAGATAAAAGCAGTGTACTGACTATTATAAATGGAAATAGTCTCCTCCTATTAAAGACTCAAATTATGGCCACGAGATAACTTCATGAGATGGTTGTTCACAGAATCAATAAGACTCCAGTTTGTTTGGAAAGCCAACTTGCCTAAATGCCAAAATACATATTTTGCAAATTGCCTAATTTACATTTGAAAGGACCAAACCTTAATTCTTCAAGAAGCTGAGTGGAAGGATTGAAAGAAAGAAAGCAAAGAAAAAAACCACACACAGCAATTTAAGCATCCTTTTTTGGGTTCCGCAATATACATAATTTGATTGAAATTGATAGCATTTGGAAAAAGGAAATATTTTTTCCACTTAAAAAAAAGGCAACAACACAAAAAACTTGCCAGAGTCACATGGAATCTTCGCTGTCAGTGAGTGGAGACTGAGGATTCTCCTGGAGCAATGACACCCCCTATAGATTGTGCCTCCTCTGGTCACAGGTGCAATTGGCAAAGGACGAAAAAAAAAACCTTCTGCCCCCACACTCCACCCCTGACATTCTCTGAAGGCATCTTTGTTTCAGTCCAGCCCAAGGACTTGCAGCTTCTGCTTAGGGAACCAGACTGCCTTCCAGAACAGGGTAAGGACCAAAGGGGAAGTAGAACCAGTTCAGAGTCTGCGTTGCTTTGCTGTGGGACTTACAACAGAGCCTGGACCCTATGCTTTGGTTCCTTCATTTTAAATTAATGTAATAAAGCACTGCAGATACGGTGAGCTCAGGTATAACATTTCATGTTTATATAGGGATTTAGAATTCATTCAGAGGTTTCTGTGTTGTCACCATGTCATAGTGTCATTGCTACCCTGACTCACCTTATTAGAGAGAGCTTAGGCTTGGAAGTCACAAAGGTAGGAGGCCTGATCCCAATGACTTAGCATCTCAAGAAGTGCTTTTTCTGGTTGTGGTGAAAAGTAGGTAAGGAGAGGGAGGGGTGATATACATATGGTATCGGCACATAGTAGGTGCTCAGGAATATATCATGACTTTCATACCATGCAAATTGAATAGTATTTATTTTACAGATAAGCTCAAGGGAGATTGGATGATTGAGTTCAGATTAGGCAGCTAATAAATAGTAAACTGAGACTATAGTCACGATCGTAATCCATCTCGGCCCAGTGGTTGTTGCAATCATTTCCTCCCCAACCTTTTCTCTACATTTCCTGAGAAGTTGTGCTTCGTGAAAGAAGCAAATGGAAACAGAGTAGAGCCAGATGAGGAGATGGCAGCTGCCAAGGCCTCCCAGCTCTTACTCCCCCAGTTCCCAAGGTGGAGAGGCCAGGCCCTGCTTTATAGCTGCTCAGTGTCCCCCAGCTTGCGATTGGAGTCACCTGCCGAGAGCACTTTGATAACCCCAAAGGAGCGCAGAGAAATGACCCCACTTTATGCTGTCCCATCAAAAATGAGCAAGTAACGAGCATGCCTCCCTGCCCAGATCCTTTATCGCTCTTACAAACAGACTGAGTCCACAGTTCTTGTCCTGCAGGCCAGAAAAGAGAGGGAAGCACATTAGGAAGGTAAGGTAGAAGACCTGAATAAAGGCCCCTTGGACACCAAGAGGGTAAGTATGAGCTTTCCAGGCCAGGGAAGAGGACAATGAGCCGATTCTCTCTGACTGCAGCAAACCATATGGCTAGAGGACTCGGAAATAGAGTGGGAATTACCGGAGCGACTCCTCAGCCTCCCCATCAAGTTAAGCTAAATGAAAATATTTGTAGGTGAGCACAGAAGTGCTGTTGTTGGGAAAGCTTCCATCAGCCATCTAGAGAAGTGCCTCCCCCAATGCACTCATGGCATATGCACCCCCAAATACCTGCAACAGCCTTTTGAGGGCCAGCAGTTTAAAGCGATGTCCTGAGCCCTGGTCTAGTGCTTTTTGCAGTCCACCTCTGGCACTGCCTCCAGGCTCTGCGGCTATGGATGCCCCACATGCTCAAAACACATCCTGCTCTTTCAACAAGTCACCTTAAAACACACACACACACACACACACACACACACACACACACACACTGGCAGTCCAATCCTAGGTGTAATTGCACATGAGCAAAATGATTTGAGATCAAAACCTTCTCTGGAGAGCCTCCTTGGCGGCACAAGGACTTAAGTCTCAGCACTATGAAGCTATCTGCAGCCACTGCAGCACAAGTTCAATCCCCGGCCAGGGAGCTACCCACATGGTGCAGCAGACCTCTCCTGTCTCAACGGTGCTCCCTTCAGCAGTGTATTTCAGTCAATCTGCCTGTTCTGTTCCCCACTCTGCCTCTGGTGAATCCTCTCACCCCCGCACCTCTGGCCTGTATCCCAGTTCTTATATGCATAAATAAATCTTTAAAAAAAAAAAACCTTCTCTGCACAGAATCTTCCTCCTTGACTCTGGGGACACCTACCAGGGACAGCCCCAGATTGGCTCACCTTCAGAAAGGGGCCTCCAGGGGTCCTGTGGCCTGATCACTTATCTGAACTTCCAACATCTGGTGCCTCTGCATTGCCTTCCTCTTCAGGGCCTGTTTTACCCCCTTGCCTTCTATTCTGACCTTGACTGGCTCTGGATGTGAAGTCTCTGGGTGAACCAAAGGAAGCTTTCTCTCAGTCAGAATCCTCCAGTCTATTAGCCTCAGCTCCCCTGCATAGCTGGGCCCCTCACAGGCTAGATTCCCAGGTGTGTTTCAACCAGTCGACTCCTGCTAATTTTGATAATCAACATTGGCTGAAACACTGTCCTCTAAAGTGGCTCAAAAGTCACTCTGTTGGCAACAGAGCTGGTGACAAGGTCCATCTCTCTTTACCTCACATCTTGAGCCTTATCAGTTTACCTAGTTAGCTCATGATCATCATGCAGGGAACTTCACCTCAAGGAGGTAAAGTAGCAGCAGAGAGCTTGGTAGGCTGGGTTAGCTCGGCCTCCACCCCTCGCCTGCCAAGCCCCCACCGAGGGACAGACGCTCCTGTCGCCACACACCTGCCACAGGGGTAGAACCCTGGCCATGTCCTCTCTGCACCCCCACCTCTTTTGGAAAGCAGAGCTAGTAGAATCCATCCAATAGGGCAGCTGTGCAGCTCATGTGAGATAAAGCAGGTGCCATCCCTGGAAACCCCACAGTGCCCCACTGTTATTATACCCATGTCTCTGGCTGTGCCACTCTCACTCCTGTCCCCAGGCCCAGGCATGCCCGAATGGTTGGGCCTCACCTTCTGCTGGTGGCATAAGAAAGATGCACCGTTGCTACCTGACAAAAACAGATTGTCTGTGATTACTATTCACCTCTTACTTTAGAAAGTGGAATGAATAAAGCGTTCGCAGGTCATGGACACTTAAGAGCCTTTTCATATCCATTTGGGTGGAGTTGTCAGCTTTGATTTATGGAGTAAAGTTCTGAGATGGGCTGCTGTTGTGTCACTCATGTGATAACAGATGGGCCTCACCACTGCCTGCGTGGGGCCATTATGCTCATGCGTCCCTCCCCCCACAGTGTTCAAGACAACCAGGCTGGCTCTCTTGGTGGGTGCTGCTCACCTCCCATCACCCCTCCTCTGCCTCTGGCCTCTTTCCATCTCTGCAGTGCCCCTGCCCCCAGTTCTGTCAGTCACCTCAACCCCTTTGGTCAAGTGTTTGTTACTAGAAAACATCCCTGAGGCTCCCCAGCCTGCCTCCTTCACATCTAATTTAGTTCTCTGATCTGTTAGAAGAGGGCAACTAGGAAGACTCTCCCTGGAACCCCCAGGTCTTTGCCAGGCTCCATGGTCTGGCTCATAGCTATTGGCATCCAATTATCAGTTTGGTTCACTTTGAATTCATGAGTAGACCTGACTGGGCTGTGGAAAGTCCCTGGGGGGTGAGACTGAACAGGGAGACCTTCCAGAGTCCCTTGCTTCAGGCAAGCTCACACCCTGTCTCTAGCCTGCATACTCGCCCTCCCTTTGGTCAGATTGAAAAGGCACCCGTGGGTTTCCCATTAGTGTTTGCTCTGGGTTTTGTCCTACTCAGGGACCGTATCTCCCTCCCAGAGAGCTCTTCTGCATTGTCTCTCGCTGCTCTGATCTCGCAGGATATTATCCTAAGGGGCAGGGGAGAATGAGGACACTGCTATAGAGAATTGGGGGCTGACCCCTCACTTTGGCTTTGGATTGTGTGCAGTTAGGCAGGGGGTCCATGGATCAGATGAACTCAGAACTCTCAAGTAAAGGCCTTGCTTTTGCAGAAAGAGAAAAAAAACCTGTGATGCTTGGTCCTTCTGAATTGACCCATATTCTCTCCCGATGGAGAGGCCGGCTGGCAATGTGACTGAGAGAATGTCCTGCTGAGTCAGACTCGGGGCAGCCCAGTGTCTGTCTGTGGCAGGAACTGAAAGGACATTGGTCCTTTGGCGGGAGGTAGTCCACTGGGAATAGTTGTGTGTCCTCACCTGCAGTAACAGCCTTTCATTCATGACGCCATCATCTCTGTACCACCTCTTCTCACAATGAGCTCTCTGGCTATGTGGCATAAACCATCATGCGCAGGCCAGAGCCAGGACTGATGGGAAGCTCTGTGGCCTTCTACCTGAGGAGGAAGGACCGCAGCCCCACACTAGCACTGTGTTCCTAGGACTCAGTCCCAAAGTGGCCCTGGAGGATACTAGAGAGCTAGTCTTTCAACAAAGAAGGTGGGCCCTAACACAATCATGGTGGTCCAGTGGATAAGTGCTTTTGCAAGAAGGAAGAGGCCCAGGTTGTTGACCCTCTCCATTTGAACCAAAATACATAGAAAAAAAAATTTGTATCTGAATCCTGAGAGATTTCAACTTGTTACAAGTGACAGTTTTCTCATGATGAAGAGTTAAGTCCTCGAACAAGTTCAGGTAAGTTCTTCAGAAGTTCGTGAATAGACAAGCAAACCAGCAGGGCCAGGCCCAAGGGGAAGGCTGGATTCAACATCACTGGTTGGATGTGCTGTCTCGGTCACTGGCTTGGGTGCAGAGCCTGGAGATAGCTCCTGGCATGGCCCAGCCTCCACACAGCAGCCCCATGGAGGGAGACGCAGGGAGTCCTCCTTCTCCCACACACACACTCTTCCCCAGAGTCCTCTGCCCTACATCTTCCTGGCTGCACAGCTCATGGAACCTGCACATCCCCAACCACTCACCTGCTCTGCCCTTACCTGGCTGGCAGCTTGCCCCGGGGCACACAGAGCTGGGGGAGGAAAGACAGAAGGAGTGCTACTCCCTGGGAGTACCTCTTATTCCTCTCTGTTTCAACCTAAAGGCTCCCCTTGACCATAAATGTAGTTGTCTTTTCCTGCGGACATATGTAGAAAGAAGATACTTGCTGGGTAGGTGAATATAAGGGTAAGATCTTTCTGGATAGTGGAGAGAGACTCAGGAAAACTAGGGTCAATAATTTAAAAGATGGGCCTGCCCCGGTGGCACAGCGGTTGAGTGCTGGGCTGCGAAACTGCCCGTAGCCCCCGCAGTACCGTTTCAATCCCGGGCTGCCGGGGAGGGTCCCACATGGCACGACAGACCTCTCCTGCCCCGCCCGCTGCTCCCCTCAGCAGTGTACTTCGGTCCTTCTGCCTGCTCTGCTCCCTGCTCTGGCTCTGGTGAATTCTCTCACCCGCCTGCACTTCTGACTGTACCCAGTGCTTGTATAAATAAATAAATAAATCTTTTAAAAAAATAAATAATTTAAAAGATACCTAGATACTGGCATGGCTCTGAGGAACAAAGATCATATTATCGAGTAGTCCTGTTCCTAAAAAGCTTTGTGTTTATTGCTGCAATTAATGGAAATGGAATGGCTATGACTTTCTTTCTTTCAGTAAACAAACATTTATCAAGTACTTATATGCCTGGTCCTGGGAATACAGATAACAAGATAGGATTTCTGCCTTTGAGGACCCCGCTGTCTAGCAGGCCAGACTAACACAAAAGCAAATAATGAAGTATAGTAATCTTACCAGCACTATAGAGCAGTCTATGTGATAAACTGTGGACACAGGAGGCAGGGTTCATTTTTGAGTACCTTCTGCATACCTGGTACTCCGTTGGATGCCTGGAATACAGGGAAAGAGGTGGATACAGGCCTCACCCTCACAGGAACTTATAGTCAGAGGAACACCCCTCACTTTACCTGGGGAGCCCAGACAAGGCTCCCTGAGAGAGAGAACTGAGTCTTAAAGCAAGGAGCTTCTGTTGTTCTGCAGACAGATAGAGGGGACAAGGGCTCTCTGGATAAACAGAAATTATGAGAGTCTAGGGGGCATCCCTGGTGGCGTAAGGGTTAAAGACAGCACTATCTGGCTATCACCAGCCACTGCAGCATTAGTTCAACCCCCAGCCAGGGAGCTGACCCACCTGGAGCAGCAGATCTTTCCTGTCTCGCCCCCCGCTGCTCCCCTCAGCAGTGTATTTCTGTAGATCTACCTGTCTGCTCCCCACTTTCTCTGGTGAATCCTCTCACCCCTGCACCTCTGGCTTACACCCCAGTTCTTGTATGCATAAATAAATAAATCTTTTTAAAAAAAAAAGAAATTGTGAGCATATAGAGGAATGAAAGCATGGTCACTGGGGACAGTTTGAAACACCTCCTGTTTATTATTTTCTCACCCAGATCCATCTGCTCTTTCAAGTCAGACTCTCAGATTCTCTGAGGGATGGGAAATGAGCTCCGTCACTGAGATGTATCCTGAAAGCACAACCTGAGGTCCTTAGACTTGGCACTAGGCACTAGAACATCCTTGAACATTCTCATTACAATGTCCATGTTCTTCCTACAGACATCATAAACTGAGAAGAATCTGGTATGGATTTCAGTAAGTTCTAGAGTTGCAATTTGCTTGAATTGTCACTTTCCTCGACTAGGAAGGTTAAAAATAGTAACGCTCTCCTCCACTTCCAATGTTTCCAAAATGGCGTGAAAAGGCAGCAATTCCCAGTGCCAGTAGACATACCCATCGCGGGTCTTATTTTTTAATGTATCATTCTTCCAGGTCAGATTGCTCAGTGTTCACGTGCCCAGTGAGAGTGGATTCCACTGCTCTTGCTTTGTGCACGTCCCCTCCTGAAGTCAAGAATATAGAAAGCATTCTGTAAAACACAGCAGGAAGAGGATTCATCCTTGTCCACTTAAATATTCATGACAGCTTGCATTTTGGTTCAAAAGACACTTGTTTATTTAGATAAGATTTAATTTATTCATAATTTACCTACATTTGCAGAAGTGTGCATGTACATTTTAGCGTCTAAGTAGCATGATACATAAAACATTACCCAAGCATGCAAATTGTACAGTGACAGCGGTGGAACCCGCCTGGATGTTTTAGGGAGATAACACATTCCCATCAGAGCAAAGTCCCAAGCACAATGGTGTGGACTTGTTTGCCTGCTAAACGCTGACTCATCATTATCTTGTTACCCAAGGCAAATGTCTCACTAAAAACAAAATGTATATATAATGTAAAGCAACATTGGAGAACAGTTTTCTGGAATAAACTTACACTTGATCCCCTTCCCCCTGGCCAGGCACCACTTCATTCATTGTCACACAAACAACCCACCTGTCCTTCACCCCCACCCCGCCCCCCTGCACCCATACAAAAGAAAACCATCCACCATACATTTGTATTCATTTATTCTGGCATTCAGCGCATATTCATTGTCCACTTGTTGCATTTCAAGACAATTCCAGACTATTTCAGCAGCCTTGTCAAGTTCCATATTTGTCTCCCCCAGCAGAGAATGAGCTCCCAAAGGCAGCTGCTGTGTGCCCTTCACCCTGGTATTGCAGTGGCCAGCCACAATCTGGGCATATTAGAGGTGACCCATCAATATTGTTAATGACCTTGATCGTTATTTTTGGCAGCATGTGGAAATTCTTAGAGATTTTATAAAAGTCACTTTCCATGAGAGTTTTTTCATGAAAACTTTTCACGGCTTATCGCTGGCAGTGAGTCTGGCACATGCTTCATCTTGACCCTTATAAAACAGGGAAAGCCAAGTTCTTGCATATAGCCCAGGCAGGCATGCCTCTCCCTTCTTGGTATTCAGGGTCTCCCCAGCCCGAGCACCGTTTATAGACTTTGGAGACGGAATTGGAGAGACACAATCTTCGAGAGAGTAAGAAGATTTAAGGGAAGGGGATTTGTTTGGAGTCTTTGCTACCTAAAGGCATTAAAACTTTATAATGCCAAACAAGTCCCGTTTTTCTTTATTTATGGATCATATATTTCCCCCCTTTATAACTGCCATGCATTTTTCCAACCTGACAGCTGATAACACTGAAAATTCACTGCTAGCAAAAAATTCCATTTACCACTCTCTCCAGATAATAATTTTAGAATTAAAGAAAAAAATACATATATTTCTATATGCAAAAATATCCATACTTAGTTCTAGTCCCTGAATTCATACTCCACACTGAATATGAATTAGGGGGTTAGAATCACATTTTGATCAGAGTTCAGGGGTATTCTTTTAAAAACATAAGCCTCGAATATCCTGTCTTACCTGATAACTATTAACTTGGGGAAGAAATATCAAAGCAGGTGATCTTGGTTTCTCCAGAGTTGGTGCAATTTAATTTCAATTTGTCAAACATGGCACTATGGGAGAGATTTATTTTTCCCCTTGATTTATTAGAAATGTTCTAAAAGGGGCAGTCTGTCACTCAGGTTATTTCAGCCAGTCTTCCTGTTGAAGTTTCTTTTCCATTGGCTCGCTATCCAAATCTACAGGAAGGGGGAAAACAACCAAGAGATAAAACCCACAAGGGGGAAAAAGAGAGAAATCAATGTGTTTTAAACATGATGACAGGGTGGGTTATTTAAATTGCTTCTGTTCATTGATTTAAAGCATGCCCAGTAGAAACCTCTATTATATTAACAATCTTTCCCTTTCATTTCAATCATTGTAGTTGCTGTATCTTATTACCTTTCAGACAGATGATGTCCAAATATAATGTTGAGTATGATTTTTTTTTTATTATTATTATTTGCTAGACGAATGATGGGCAATGACTCAGAGGTCTGGGGACAGGATTAGTAACATAAATAATGTGAATTCCAAAGAAGCCGACGTAATGATAAATCAACTGAGCATTTAACTATAGATTATATCCTAGATGCATTTCTATAAATGGCAGTTCTTTCAGGCCTCAGGAGTATGGAGAGACAGGACATTTTCCTGGACATAGATGGTGAGTGGTCAGAATGGCCAACAAGTTGCTGTCCTGTTGAAATAATACCAAGCTTCTAGCGTGAGAGGTTCTGCTGTGTTTTCACAAAATCACCTTTAATCTCAATAGTTTCTCATTGAAATACCATGGCCTGCTCGCTGATGTCTTTTGTAAAATTACTTTTGTTAGCCTATCTGGACTTCAGTGTAGAGGAAATGGAGCCATTATTCCCATATTGCTTTGATCTTTTCACACCTGAGTGATTGCTTGATGGTCGTCAGGATTGGAAAGAGTAGGCAGGAAAGGGTCGTATCCTAGACAAGATCTGGCTCTGTGTAATTATTATGGAAGTGACCCAGTGATAGAGAATCCAACCCGCTGATCCACTGTGCTTGAGCAGCCCTATATATGAGGATCATAGTTTTTCATTCAGGGTTTTGAAATGTTACATGAGCTATATTTGGAAGTTTCCTTTTTTGCACATTGAGCAAATGATTTCTCACATGTTGTTTCCTTTGGTTTTACAAGGCAGTTAGATTAAACCCATTTCACAGTTGAATTAACTGGATTTTAGATAGTTGTCGTTCACCCCAGCTCAGACATTTGATCAAGACAGAGATTGGATTTGAACCCTGTTTTTTACTCCAAAGCTTCCCTTCTTTCCTTTACAGCCCACTATTGTTTTGTTCATTCATTTAACCAAAAAATACTTATTGAGCACCTTCTACGCACCAGGTCTATCAAGGTGTGAGGCAGTGAAGAAGATACTACAGTGGGATCATTGAGCCTGCTATGGGGAACCCTCAGGTTTGGGGAGGTGCCATGCACAGAGATGTCTGATGTGCTGTTAGAAGGCAACAACTGAGGCATGCACAGGATGCCATGAGGGCATACTGAGCTCTCCATGGCCACTAGACTCAGGGAGAGCTTCCTGGAGGAGGGGGCCCTATGTAAAATCTTGTCTTCAAATGCTTTCATGTTTCATCCCCCTGGATAAGTCCATCCTGTACACAAGGTCATACACATAAGTAGGAAGTCTGTTCTGCAAGCAGGTCAGCGGGAAATCTCCTGCATTTTCTCTTCCCCTTCCAAGTCATATTTACAAATAAGCAGTTGGCCTTCTTGCTACCATGTTCTTTCAAGAGATTAAAATAAGAAAGAAAGAAAATAAGTTCATCCACTGAGAGTCTCAGACAGGCAGCTTGAATCAGATTGTCAATACAGTAAAGTCTTGAACTGTTTGGTTTAAGTTAAATTCAGCAGTCTGTTCATCTTTCTTAGCTCAGACCCTTATCGGATACCTTAGAATGCTGATAGGGAGAACAAAGGCTTTGTGTTGAAGTCAGGATTAACACCAGGCAAGAACCTAAGGAAGTCACATTTAATAGTTATTCTATAGCACCTTTACAGTCTGCCTACCAAACTCCCTTCATCCTGTGTGTGTCACAGCAACTATACAGTTAGGGGAAAAGTCCCCACAGGCGATCACCTGCTTTCTACCTCAACTGCTAGTTGCAGAAGGTTCCCAAAACCAAATGATCAGAGGCGATCATTTTCTAGAAGGACTTACAATACTCACTGAAAGATATTATATTCATGATTAAGATTTATTGCAGGAGAAGGATTAAAATCAGTGCAGGGAAGAGGAGCACAGGGCAAAGTCAGAGAAAGCATCAAACAGAGCTTTGATTGTCCTCTTCCCTTATGAAGTCAGGATGTGTTACTTTCCTGGTATCAATGTGTAACAGTACACAGGGAGTATTGCCAACCTAGGGAACTCTCCTGAGCCTCCCTGTTCAAAGATTTTCCAGTTGCTCTATTAGATAGGATGATTGACAGATTGATTGGTTACCTATGTGGTTGATATGGGTATACTGGTCCTTTGCTTTGGGTTGCCATGCCACCCAAAGTCTCTACCTAAATCACATCAAATCTGGTATGAACCAAAGTGCCCAGGTAGACAAAGACAGTAGAGACATTGGCAAAGACAGAGTTAATCCTTTGCAACACCATCCTCAGTACCCAGCTCTCCTCCATGCAGAATCTGCTTCTTCTCTCTGGCCCCCCACACTTCATCCTGCCTCTGTTTGCATTGATTATATTGTAAACTCTTCGAGGCTAAATACACATCTAAATAGTCACTCTGCTTTCAACAGTCAGCACACATAGGCTCAAGCATACAGTAGGTGCTCAATAGATTTTTGTTAGTTTGCATATTTCTACTTGATAGGATTCTTAGTTTGGAATTCTAAGAATTTTTACTTTTCCTGCCTGGTTTTCTTTTGCTTTCTGGCTGATGTTTACTTTTTTTAGATGTTATTGTTCCCTTACACCCAAGTATACCCAAGTGCTGTGCATCACATGTTTTGGTGTTTTGTTTTTTTTTCCCCAGTTTCTCCCAGCCTGCAAAAACCCTTAGCTGCATTTTAGCCTCTGCTAATGGTCAGAGAAACTTCTTAAAGCTGAACTAATACCATATACCTTCCTGGGCACGTTGATGATGTGTTTAGGAAAAAATTCTCTCCAAACCCTAGGAGGCATAGAGTCCCAAGCATTCCATTCCTTGCTTTGTGTTATTT